AAAGCCATAAATTCTAGTTATATCTATTTTTTTTTATATATATATAAGTTATTGATGAAAATTTTAAAAAATTAGTCACTTAAACGGTATCAATAACTTGATATCTATTTTATACATAATCTATAATTTAGCTGGAAAATTAATATTTTAAACAGAAAAATCTACATGACCACGAGTAAGCGAATATATTTGACGAGAAAAAGACAAGAAGAAGAGCATTTGAGCAAGCAGTTTTTTTAGCTTGCAGTCATATTACATAATTCAAAAAAAAAAAATAAATAAATACTAATATTTTAAAATAATAATTTTATATTATACCATCTAATGATTAAATATTAATAATAAATATATATTTAACATTATTCTCTTAATTATTTAAAATAATATCCAAGTTAAATGTCATATTTGAAACATTGTGAATTTCGTTATCTTCTTATTCTTTATGATGTTGTTGACTTCAAGTCTATAAATTTGTTAAATCTTCATTCAGCTTATATTTTTTTTACTCATTTTAAGATATTCAAGTTTTACTTGAGTTTAAATTTTTATTTCAAATGTATAAATTTTAATTGCTTGTGAAGGAGCTTAAAAAATGTTATACATTAAAAATAAGTGTTTATAAAAAAATGCTCAAGACTTGAAAGTTAACTATATATTTGTATATATATATAATATTTTGCTCATAAGATAAGATAGAAGATATGATAAGATTGGATAAGTATTTACTTCATGATTTTTTTTTTTGGACTGCCTGATAGTTGAGGAAAATAATACCGTAATGTTAAAATTGACTTATAGTTTTTTTATACATGTATCTTTTGTATTATTGGACAAAACTAACTGATAGTCACGAGATATAATGAATAAGGTAATATAGTTAATTACAACACTTTTATCATTTTTTTTTATAAAAAAAATAATAATATAGCATTAAATTTTAAAACATATTAATGAAATAAAAATAAAATTTTATTTATTAAAAATTACATATTATAAATATTATTTTAGAGTATAATTATAACACCAGGTTTGAAAATTTAGTTCGAGATAATTTTTCTATTTATAAAAATCTATATAAATAATTAAAAATTTTATTTTAATTTAATTTTACTTAGATTATTAAAAAAATAAATTAGAGATGAAATTAAAAGTAATTTTAGAAAAAAAAAAGTGAAATTGAGAATAAGAGATGTGTTTTTGAAAAGAAATTTGAAAACACAGGGTAAAATTTCAAAAATGAAAAGTTTGGCCACGTGAAACAGTCCAGTCAGCAGTCATAACGAACCAGAGCACGCTGCGTGGCAAATACGCTGACATTGGCACCATGTATGCGATCCGACGGTCTAGATCATATCTCGTGCGCACGGATGGCCCAAATACATTTCCTCTTCAGGTGCGATCGGACGAATGGGGTTGATCGCGATGGATGGTCCATATTCGTCCACACAATCAGCCTAAACGAAAAATCATCGAACGGTTTTCCTCGCTCCACGTTGACTTAAACAAATGGTTTGGATTTAATGAAGATGAGTATTTAAAATCTTAACCGACAGAGGAGTGACTGAAGAAGAAAAATAAGAAGAAGAAGAAGAAGAAGAAGAAGAAGGGCAGCCGGGGAAGGAACCAGACGCCGAAGAAGAAGATCGACCACCACCACCACTACACCGGAGCCATTGTCAACGCCAAAACAGGTATTTTTTTCCTTTCCCACTCGAACTTCGATCTTGAGTCTCCCTATGCTCAAATCGGAGCCAAATGGTCGATGGGTGAGCTAGAAATCGCAGGGAAAGCTCGGTCGAGCCATCGCAGCTAAAATCCAAAACCCTCTCCGATGACCCCCTTCATGTTTTCCATTTCATATGTTTTTTTACCACCGTGTCCACCATCCTTTTCTGGTGCAGGTTAGCTGAAGAAGAACCCTAGTTGCAAAGCAGAACTGACAGAGCCACCGTACCCGAGGACCCCCTGCCGGTAAGTTTTGGTTTTCTACTTTTTCCGGCCAATTGAGGCTTCCTAACCTGTTTTTTCACAGGTTTACCCATAAAACTGGCCGAAACTAGCCATACCGAAGTGAATTGCCACCGCGAGCAACAGAGTCGGCACAGAGCATGGTGGCGGCGCCGTGCCGGAACCTTAAAATTTATCGGAAGGGTTTTTAAAACATCTATTCTGGCTTTTCGGAGTATTTTTGGATACTAGACAGATGTTTTAATTTCACAGAAAAATTTCAGAAAAGTCGGGGACCGCCAAGAGGCGCAGTAAACAGTATAGTATTTCGACCATCGATCCGAAATAAGAATCTCTCACCCTATTCTATGTTATGGTAAATTAAAACTTAATAATCAATAATACTGTCTTTTATGAAAATTAGAAAACTTTAAGAATAATTATAGGTCACAAATGGAGGCGGAACTGATCAGTTCACATTTACCCTAGGTTATACTACCTAAAATGCTTACTACTATGTTGTGTGTATTAAATTGCTAGTTTCCATTGTCTTCTCAGTTATCTAGTTTATCTAATTGCATAGTCCCAATTATTGGTTTATTTGTAATAAGTGTCTCAATTATGTTGTCTTAACTTATATACTGTCTTTTTGCTTAACTTATTATTGATTAGTAAAAATGGGATATTGATATATAATTGAGAATTGGTTGATAATGAGAATCTATGTATGAAAGCTTATTGAGTATCCTGAAAAATGGTGGATGAATCTGGTACATAGAAAAAATCCTACCGTAAACATTACCTCAGTCGGATAGGATTGGGAAGTCCCATACCGAAAAGGTTTGGGAGATATGATTCATCCTCATACTAGATGGGGTATCGAAGCAATGGTATGTTTGGTACCCATTACCAGACGGAGTATGGGAATGGCAGGTTGATTAACAAATTTGAATATTAGGTTCACGTGTAAGAGAGATATCCTTATGGATCCCCAGAGGTAACAGTAAGCAGGTAAAAAAGAAAGTTGTTGTTTTTGCTCACTTGTATATGAAATCATAAGGTTATTTGAGTTATTGACCTTATAGGTCGATTTTGGAAACTCGTAAAGGTAAGTATGGAATAAATGGTTTTATATTAAATGAATTTATTTAAGAAAACAAATAGCTCCATTAGTTGTTTTATGTTTTTTTTACCAACATTTGATTTCCGTATCAATGATTAGTGTGATATTCTTACTGGGTTAATGTAACACACTCTCTTATTAACCATTTCAGATCAAGAAAACTAATATATAGATCCTGATCAGTAGGAGAGTTGTGACTAAGTTTCCTCCCGGACCCCATCAAGTGTTAGTGGAGGTTAACCCCCTATGATATTTATTTATTATTTTTAGTTATTTATTTCGTTTTTTTTACGAACTACTGTAAAAAGGACATTACCGTAACCCTATTGGGTATCTATAATTACTGTGTAAGGAATATAAACCTTAACATTATTGTTTACTTCCGCATTTAAATTATGAATTCGTTTCTTTTAAGTTTTAGGTCCTTACAATAATGATGTAATACTATTTTTAAAATTTAAAGCATAACAAATAAATATAAAACTTCTAGTTATTTTAAACTATAAATATTACTTTAAAAAATAGTTGTGTAAAATTATTTTAAACCATTTTTTGAATTAAGTTATGATTTAATAAAAGATGATAACATATATATGACTATAAAGTTAAGAGAAATTCTATAATACCTGAGTCTGAAAATTGGTCAAGGATAATTTTTTTACTGTTATTAAATATATAAATAATCAAAGCAGGTACTTTTTCCCCTTTCCCA